AAAATTAGGGAGATTCGATTCTTATTCAATTTTTCGGTTCTTTGTCTAGAATCGAAAATCGAACCGAACCCGTCGATTCTCGATTCAAATACCCCTTCGAGTATTTAATTTAAGAAGAACCTCTCGATTCAGTTCAGTTCGATTCGAATCCAGTTCAATTCGATTTGGTTCGAGAGATTTGTCCCGCCCTACCCCCAACAACCAGCCTAGATTATTGAATTCAGTGGTTAATTTGTGATAGGATAATAATAAACTATATTCCCCTAATAAATTGCAAACTGAGGGTATTTATGGGCTTTGTTAGTGTCTAGGTAATTCGGGAACTTTTCAAAAAATAGACTTTTCACGTTGCCCGTTGGAGAATCCAATGTGGTCGATTTAGGACTCGTCTGATAGAGTTTTTGCTTTTTGTAAAAGATGTTTTTGGAGAAAATTAACTTAGTTCAATTTCCTTTAAAAGATTTTTACAAAATACTTTCAAAAAAATTATCCAAATAGAGTTAAAGTAATTTCATAGTCTTAGAAGTAAATTTTTATTTTTCGAAAGATTTGCCAAATAGATTCTTAGGTTTTACAGGAATTTTAGAAATGCTAGAGATTTCGTTTGAACCCATTTCAATAAGAGTAGTATTATTCATCACCATGGCGCTAAGCACCAATTTAAATGGCAACACATAATAAATTAATTAAATGAATCTCATGACACTACATTTAATTAGACTTATCTTTCAATAATAAAGTTTTTAAACACAAAATTAGTTGCATATTTTTTTGTCGTGAAGAAATTCTACAGAAACTTGTTTGAAACTTTTGACAAAAACTGGTTTGAAAACATAAATTAAGGAAAGGATTGAACGTTTTTATGGACTTGACATATGAGGTGGTTGGAAACGTGGGGGCGGCGAAGGAGAGGTGTTAAAATGTCAGGTCACATCAAATTGAATAAAATTAAGCCCTGTTTGGTACATGATGAAAAATGCTCTTGTTTGATCCTTATTTTTTCTCAACTTATTTTTTTCAAAATTCATTTTCAACTACACATTCACACAATAAAATAATCTGCACTTAAACTTAAAAATTTTTCATATTTTTTAATCATACATTTTCAAAATCTATTGACTATTAACCCCAAAAAATAGGCTCAAACAAGGGCAATATTTTTGAATGTGTTTTTCATCATGGCACCTGCACTCGATAACGGAGAATCTTCACCTCTACTTTGTAAGAAGGCTAAAGAAAAATCTAACAACGAGAGTATAACTAATTTTAAATTGGGGAAACAAAATTCACATTGAATAGAACATGAAATCATGTATAGTGTTGTAAAATAATGAGAAATATATAGATAAGTCTTATCTAATTGTAACTTTTATTTTAGAGCATATAAATACTGATTTTGATTCTCAATAAAAAACACTTGAGTTTTTACTCATATTTTTTCTTCTCTTCTTGTTATATTATTTTTATTTCATAACACGTTATCAACACGATTATCCTAGAAGGAAATAATTTCATAAGCATAATTATCAGAGTCACATGTACCAAAATCAATGATATGTGAATTTTTTTATATACATATTCATTACAAAACGTGTAAATTTCTTCCCGAGAATTTTTTGTGAATCATTCTGCCATGTGAATTTGGTAACATTTGTATTTCTTCCTGGTCTCTTGTTTCTGCCACAATTAACGTGAATTTCATTTTATGCTGCAAACAATTTGTGTGTATGAATTATTGCCTGCCGCAATCGATTTTACTGCAATTAGTTTAATATAAATGCCCACAATAATTAGTTTAGAGGATGTTGACCAAAGAATTAACTCTTTTTCATTATACATATGCATCTGCAAAACAAGTTTATTAGCTTCGCCTTTTGTTCTCTCCTTTTCTCTTTAATTTATAAGCAAATATATGAAGTTTGACACGCCAATTATACGTAGTTGACAAAATTCTTTTAAAAATAAATCATTAGCCACATTCAATTTTTTAATTATATGATAGATCTAATTAGCACATGCAAATCATAATTGTAGCAACTTTATGCTCGTGTCATTTTTGTATGTTTGCAAAATATATACGATGATTTTTGAATATTCTTTTTGTCTTTAATATGATTATATATTTTTAAATGTTCTTTTATAAATTTATATTGATAATATATTTTGTTGTTGTTCCCGAAGAAGCACACATGCGTAAATAATACATGGCTCATGAAGAGTTAATGTTTCTAAATAATAATTTGTTGTTACTTCTGAAATAACACAATGTTATAGTTAATATTTCTAAAGAATATTACTTACTTCTGGAGAGCATAAATTATATTAGAATATTGACATATTGCTCTTGAAGAAACAATAATAAAATACATCGTGTTCAAAGTAGCACATGTTTTGAAGAATATATTATTTTAAATTAGTGTTTATCTCTGAAGGAAAACACATAACTTATATCATGTTAGTATTGACTATTTGATATTTAATCATATTCTTCGAAACTAAATGTATTTCTTTTTGTTTTATTGTATAGTTAATCAAATGACAAATATCACAAAATTTGAGTTTGCTGCACTTGACATATCTGGCAAAAACTGTTTGTCATGAGTACTCGATGCTGATATCCATCTTGTCTCAAAAAGGTTTGAGAGAGACAATAAAAGAATTCAATTTTTAATTATATTATTGACCTCGAAGTTTAGTAAGAGCACATACTCAACATATTCCGCTCCTTCCCAATCCACATGTATGTTATTTGTACACTTGAATATATATTAGATTGCTCATGATCGAGCTTTGATAATGTGCGATGATCATGGTGACTCTGACACTCAAGTCAAATGGTGAAGTAATACCTTTTTCATTGTACAGTCTTCTCACATTTTACAGAATGCATTCGTCAGAAACTTTAAGTCAACAGATTGGCATTACCTTAAATGTGATATTAGAGTTCAATTGACGTAGTCAATTATTGAATAGACATGAAAGGAACTTCCCTAACTGCATGTGCTTAGCTCATCACATCTCTCAATTGGGAGGAAAGCCGGGAATCGACAGGAGTTGGAGGCTTCTGAGAGATTTTACTGGTAAAAGGTTAAAATGCCTTGACTATTGGTTATGGGAAAGAGAAAGGAGAGACAATATGGATGCTAGTTGAAGAAAGAATATTATCAAGAGCAATCTTGTATTCAAAATTGCATTACCTTTGGAACGTACCAAGTGTGTATTTTTATACTAAGGGAATGGATGTGATGTCCATTGGATGCTTCATACATGATTTCATCCTAATGGCTCAGTGGTAAAATTCAATTGCATCAATTTCAACTATCACTAAAAACTAAAAAGCAATAAGCATAGGTCATAGACTTGCAGACTGAAAAGTTGGATGAACGTATTTGTTGCAAAGCTCTCGAACATACAGAGTATCTTGAGTCGAGGTGATGTCTATAGAAAATGCCTTTCACAGAATATATCAATCACCTCGAAAATATATTCCAATATGAGGTGGCACCTTACCACACCTTGGAAATAGTCACTTCGGATGAGGTGTTTAAAAGCTTAGTCTAATTGTCTATGAGGGCAAATGTGAAGGAGCGGGGCAAAGCGAAGTGTGGACCTTACGTGATCTCTTTATTTTTTTCTCAGTTCACTACCATATGATGAGCCGAGACGTACCATATATTCGTTAGGTTTCCTACCCTATCCCTGTATGATGATGTTAAATTTGGTTAATGATAGAAATCATGTTTGCCTCAACCTATGCCAACCAAGTTTGATTATGACCAGCTCCCCCACCCCACCACCGTCCCCCTAAATATCTATATATTCTAATTCCAAAGTTATGGATAAATACATGTGCGCTATATTCAAGATGATATATACTTATCAATCATTATCCATTGCTATTAAAAATTTTAATTTAGAAAAGACAAATAAATCATTTGATAATGACAAACTCTATAAATTTAGGAACATAATTATTAGTCTTCTCAGAAAGTAAAAAGAGAAAGAAAGAAATTAGTGTGCATTATGTACTTATCAATTGTAAGGCATATATTTGTAGTCTGTGAAGTATTCTAATTTTATTTCGTCAATGTGAATGAGGATTCACTTGACAAATGAACAAAGTTTTATGTGACACTTTGTAAGATCCCAATTTTCCTAATATTCAATTATATTTGTAATAAGATGAGTGATGACCTAAATAAATGCAAAATAATTAACAATTAATCAAAATTTCAATTCTGAATTTGTTGAGTCTTTTATTGAAATCTATGACGTTTGCTATTTGTTTGATTTTATGTTTTCCGATTTCAATTTTAATAACTGAATTAATTACTTATTTGTAAGCATTTTCATATCCAATCATAACTTTATATCATCTAAGTACAATACACACGAATTAATCATGTATAAGTACTTCATCAAATGATTTCGGAATGTTTGACTAGACTTCTGCTTTTTGTAAATTAACTTTCTTAAGAGTTAACTTATGTCAATTTCTTCTAAAAATTCTTGTAGCTCGACAAAAAATTATCCAAATGAATTTCAAAACCTTTGCCTAACGGACCATTCGAATACTTGCTTTTACGCCGAGTATTGTTTAATATATTCTTGACATCCCACGAATGCTTGAACGGCCTTTAACATCCGCAATTATCAACCATAGCATTCAAATGGATAGTCAATTAATTACAATAAGTAAACTATTAATTACAAATTTTATATTTTAATAGCTTGTTAGTCAACTCCTTGATATAGTCTCAACAATTTTTCTATGTTTAGTATTTATTGGTAATTTACTTTTATATTTTGGATAAAATTAATTTAATTAGTTATTAGTAATTATCTCTTTTACCATGATAATCATTTAGTCTCGCCTCCATCCCCACACACACACCCCTTCTCCTATATAAACTCCTCCATAATCCAATTTTTCCTCTTCTCTAGTCTGTCTCTAAGCGATACATATATATAATCGTGTATTCTGTCTCTGAATCATCACAATGGATTCAAACGGCCTGATCGTGAGTTTCGGCGATATGTTAATCGACTTTGTGCCGACGGTCTCTGGCTTGTTGTTGGCGGAGGCGCTGGGATTCTTGAAGGCACCCGGCGGAGCTCCGGCTAACGTGGCGATAGCGGTTGCGAGACTTGGTGGAAAGGCCAACTTCATCGGCAAACTCGGTGAGGATGAGTTAGGTCAGATGCTTGTCGGTATTCTGAAGGAAAACGGCGTCTCCGCCGCGGGAATCCCCTTCGATAAAGGAGCACGGACTGCCCTCGCTTTCGTCACCCTACGCGCTGATGGAGAGCGTGAGTTCATGTTGTATAGGAATCCCAGTGCTGACATGTTGCTCACTCCCGATGAATTGAATCTTGAACTCATTAGTGGCGTGTTCAGTAGAGATTAAAATCGAATTAAAATTAAAAAACTAGTCCTTTTTGTTGACTTTTATTAGACGAGTGAGACCCAATAACGACTATATTTTCAATTTTAATTGGATTTTAAGCTTTGCCAAACATGCTCTGTAAGTGTCACCATCATCGAATTATATACATGTATACACACAAAAATATATATAAATTATATTATTTGTCGGCTAATCTATCTTATTTTTATGGGATATGCTTGGTGTACATAATATATGTACATAGAGGTGTCCATGACCCCATGTGACGGGTATGGACATCTCTATGTACATATATTATGTACACCAAGAATATTTCTATTTTTATTATACGGATATTTCTTGTGTTTGTTTATTTTTGAAACTTTTCTTGATTTTAGTCGACATGAATGGTCATTGTGATCTTTATACAATTTTTGTTTGTTAATTCTGAATTATTTTGACTAATCAATTATTTTTGGTAAATTTTGGACTTATTATGGTTAATTTAATGTGGAGTACACGAGTTGGTTGGTGAAATCAAGAAAATTTCATTTCATAATTTTAAAAAAAAAATTAGTTTCTTGATAATTATTTTTAACATTAAAGAATTTGATAAATTTTAAATATGAGTTTTGCCATATGATGCCACAAATTTTTTATTGGATGTGGGTCCTCTATTTTGTTAGGGAGGTGTACATCTAGATGGCAACCCAGTCGACAAATAGCAAAACACTTTAAGGCACCGTTTGTCTCCCATTATTCTAAAACAATGTTTGCTACAGTAAAATTTTCCACTACACATTCACCCAATAAAATATTTTACACACAAACCAATAAATTTACTTTAAATTTCAACCATACATTCTTCAAAAAATACTATTTATTACTCTATTTCTTCTACAATAATGGGAGACAAACACATACTAAACATAAGCATGCAAATGTCAGAAGTTCAGTTTTTTATACTAGTGAAGTGTGAAGAAATTTTTGACCTTCTGAAAGGTGGATAACGCAATTGGTGCTTGTGTACATGTGCTGGTTCTACCACGAGCCGCCACATCACTATCACAGTGATGTAAAACCGCGGCACGATGGGCCCACCGACTTCATTAATTAGGCTCAGGTGAATTTTCTAGTCAGATCCATTTCAATTTGGATCTAGATTTCTCACGTTAATACGATAATACTGAGATTGAACAATTTTTCGGTCAAAGAGTTGAAAAAAGAGAGATAATAGGGACATTAGGTGGCTAATGAGAGAGTAAAATGCAAGTTTTTAGGTGCAGTTGAGTGTTGACTTTCAATAGGATAGTGTACTAAACTTTTTAGTACCTCAATGCCCTTAAGACTCGTCTAGCTCAAAGATAAAAACAACAAACCAATTCTTACTAGCAACCCATAGACTATGCCCTATAATCTCTTTGTTTCTACAATGACCTCGGCAAGATATATTTTTCGTTTATTCTTTTAGTATAGTTTTGATGAAATTGGTCAATGAATCATTTTTACTCAAAAGACTTGTTACATAAATTTCCCCAGGCTAAAGTGTTCCATTATGGATCGATAAGCTTGATCGAGGAGCCATGCAGGCCAGCACATTTGAAAGCAATGCAGGCGGCCAAGGATGCCGGGGCATTGCTCTCTTACGACCCCAACCTCCGGCTGCCACTGTGGCCCTCAGCTGACGAGGCCCGAAAGCAGATCATGAGCATATGGGACAAGGCAGATGTGATCAAGATCAGTGATGTTGAACTTGAGTTTCTCACATGGAATAACAAGATTGATGATGCATTGATGCTTCTGCAATGTCCCTATGGCACGACAAATTGAAGCTTCTCTTGGTGACCCTTGGAGAAAAGGGATGCAGATATTTCACTAAGGTACTTTTATTTGTTAGTTTCACATTCTCGATTTCTATAGTTCAGAGCATTAATGCCATATATAATGGGTAGGTGAGGCTCTTAAAAGAAGAAACCGTCCGTCTCTGTCTATATATTTTAATGTTGTCATTTGGCAGTTAGTAGCATTACTTAATATATATATATATATGTCTGGCTGCATTTGGTGTGCATCTCCCAAACATATCTTTATAGCTTTCCACTATTTGAAAAATGTGATTCATACAGAAGACTAATGTTTTTACCATAATTCATTAAAGAGACACTCATTACTACATTCAGAAAACAATTTCTTACAAGGTGGTTGGATTCTTATGATATAAATAGTATGTTTTTCTTGAAATGCTAATGATAGATAAAATGTTCTAGGAAAAGAAACACCATGACCCTGATGTTACGATACTAAATAAACTAAGAAACAACCACCACAACTTGGATTATATACCATTCACAGCTTCAAAAATCTACCTACAGTAGTCATTTTTGGATCACACCGTCACTTCCATCCCTCTTATCTTAGATACCAATATACTTTTTGCATAAGTTCTTTCTTTTTTCCATTTTCATTTTTTTTTTCTTATAATAATTCTTTATCCTGCATATTCCTTTTTATTTTCCATTTTTTTAAATGTGAAGAATCAGTAGGACAACAAAAATATCTTCCCTGTTATTTACATATTTACTCAACTAGTGCATTATCGAGAGAATCGACAAATAAACCAAGGCACCAAGCCTTATGCTCAGAAAACTACATATAGTTATGTGTGCTTGAAAGATAATGAAGCTTTTATATAAAACTCACATTTTGAGCATCATTCCTTCTACAGTAGAATGTATGGTAGTTGGTATCTTATTTCCTTATTTTCAGCCATGTTGTATTAGTTTATCATTTTCATTGTACTTGTTGTCTATGTAAGAAGCATGGTTGCTTGATATGTAATACACAATCAAGATCAATCCAAGATATTGAAGTAGTCACGGATTTTCTCTCTCGTTTTTCTTCCATGTTCCTCCTCTGTTTTTTCTTCTCTGTTTTTTCATCTTCACACATAAAGAAGATTGTTTAGTTCACCTCTATTCTTCAACATTAGAGGTTGTTGTTGTTGGAGCTCATTAACAAGATTGACAGGAGCTAACAAGTGGTATCAGAGCATTGTTCGATCTCTGGAAGAGGATCAGGAAGAAGGGAAAAGAAGAAGCAGTTAAATCCGGTGTGTAAGGTTGGAATACGGTATTTGTATTGCAAATCCGGTAGTCACACTGCAAATACGGTGGGAAAGGTTCAAATCCGGTAGGAAGAAGAAAAAGGGGTCAAATCCGGTATTTACGTTTTAAATCCGGTATCTTCACTTCATATCCGGTGAGTAAAGTTCAAATACGGTGTCTGCAATTTCGGTGACTTCTGTGAAAATTAAAATGGCAGGAACGAACTCGTCTTCTCTTCCATTACCAGCAGTGTTTGTTGGTGAAAATTACGATTTCTGGTCTGTTAAAATGAAGGCTTTTTTGATGGCTCACGATCTGTGGGAAGTGATTGAGCAAGGGTATGAACCTCCTGAAACTGACGTCAACTATACAGCAGCTCAACTGAAACAAAATAAGGATCAATCAATGAAGAACATGAAAGCTCTTTCTTTCTTGTACACAGCAGTATCTGAAGAAATTTTTCCCAGGATAGTTGCTGTATCAACAGCTAAAGAAGCTTGGGATCAGCTTGAAGAAGAATTTAAAGGATCAGAGAAGGTGAGAGCAGTGAGGCTGCAAGCTTTGAGCAGAGATTTTGAGAATCTGAGGATGAAAGAAACTGAAAAAATCAAGGATTATACTTCAAGAGTTGTGGATATAGTTAATCAACTCAAGCTGAATGGGGAGAAACTTTCTGATAAGAGAGTAGTTCAAAAGGTGTTGATCACTTTACCTGAGAAGTTTGATGCGGTAACTACAGCCATTGAACATACAAAGGACCTGTCGAGTCTCTCATTAACTGAACTCACAGGAGCTCTTTTGGCCTATGAGCAAAGACAAGCAGTAAGGTCAGAAAAGTCAGTTGAAGGTGCCTTTGCAGCAAAACACAAGCAATCATACTCAAAAGGAAGTAGTTGAAAATGACAATTTGATGACAGAAAGAAAAGAGAAGGAAGCAGTAGCAAATCTGGAATGATCAAAGACAATCGAGATACTTATCCTCCCTGTAGCATTTGTAACAAAACAAACCATTCAGAAAATTATTGTTGGAAGTTAAAACAATGTAGATGGTGCAAGAAGATTGGACACTTGGAGAAGTTTTGCAGGGCTAAACTACAAAATCAGCCACAAACTCAACAACAGCCAAGACATCAAAATCAGCGAGCTAATTTGGCTTCTGAAAAGAAGCGTGAAGATCATTTATTTTTGGCATTTCACATGACAAATTCGGTGGAGGAAGACTCATGGTTTATTGACAGTGCCTGCACCAATCATATGACCAGCAAAGAGGAGATTTTTTGCAAACTGAATTCTGATTGCAAAGCTACCATCAAGATGGGAAATGGAGAAGTTGTCTCAGCAAAAGGAAAGGGAACCATTGCTGTCCAAACAAAGAAAGGAACAAGGTACATTGAAAATGTTTTACTTGTACCTGGTTTAAGTTCAAATTTGCTAAGTGTTGGTCAAATGGTTCAAAATGGTTATTCATTGCACTTTAAAGATCATTTGTGCAAAATATGTGATTCTCATGGTGTTGAAATAGCATGTGTGCCTATGAAAAATAAAAGCTTTAGTATACACTGGCAAAGTCTGATTGCAAATGCTGCTGAAGTTAATTTTGATGAATCAAACTTGTGGCATAAGAGATATGGTCATATAAATTTTAAATCCTTAGCCTACCTACATTCACATGGTATGGTAAGGGATTTGCCTCAAACTCATGAGCCAGGAGGAGTCTGTGAAAGTTGTAATTTTGGAAAAATGCATAGAGAATCATTTCCAACTGAAGGTGCTTGGAGAGCAACGCAAAAATTGCAACTTATTCATACAGATATTTGTGGTCCTATGAGAACACCCTCATTGAGTCAAAATCTGTATTTTGTGCTCTTTATTGATGAATTTACAGAAATGTGATGGGTGTATTTTATGAGGAACAAGTCAGATGTATTTCAGGTGTTTAAGAAATTCAAAGTACT